AATGTATATTAAACTGTATTAATAAGCAATAATAATATTGTCTCTATATCTTGCTTTTATGTAATTAAGTTTTCATTTTATTTGTGTACATATTGTTTATATTTATAATCTGTACCATTCGTTGAATGAAACAATAAAGATTTTTCATTCATTCATTCATAATATAATAATAATTGCCAAACAATCACATGAGTCGCTTATTCGTCAAGTTAAAATACCCTGAGTTATGAAGAACCAAGCGACTAACATCTGGTGGTAGGTATAACCCAAAACACCCACACCGAGCCATTTTAGAAAATTTTATCTCTTAAATTGGTCCGACCGAATATCGAACCCGGGAACTTATTTACGCAATGTGACGTAGTCTCCACTGCACTATAGAGGTGCTCAAATTATTATTACTTGTATTTTAATTAAAGTTACTACAAAAATATTCCTCTTCGCGTAACAAACGTTCTCGAAAAATAATACCAACAACGCATTGTCGACTTCCCTAGTTTCGTTAGTGTCCATGGGCTGCGGTGATCACTTACTATCAGGTGAATCGCTCGTTTGTCGCCTTCTCACATAAAAAAATAGTCGTTTGTTACAAATCTCTTCTTTTTTGGAAAAGGTTGAAAATGTAATCAAATAAAATGGGTTACATTTTTATTATAAATATTAATAACTGTATTTTTTTTAATATGCTGATAATTGTTTGTGCTGCAACCCTACTGTTATATTTCGAAATCCTGAATAGGGCATATGTTAAGTATTTATTTTGCAATAATTCGGCTTTCAAGATTCGAATCCGTATCTATCAACTCAATATTCTTCTTGGAAATAATAATAAATACCATTGATTTTCAAGAAGTGCAGACCCTGTCAAATTTCGGCGAAATCTTTCAACTGCGCTTTCAACTTCGAGTTGCCAGAAAAGCCGATATTTCCGAAATATAGATGGAAACATTTTGTAAAATGCTTTAAAGGGGCATTAACTTTTTTCAAGAGTCAAAATTAAAAAGATTTATCGATTAGACGGAAAACACATTTTCTGAAAAAACATACACGGCCACACGACTCTTGCGCACGCACGCATACACACACACACACCATTCACACACGCACGTACACACGTGCACATGTGTGAGTGTACACTCTCTCTCTTTATCTCTCTCTGACATCCACACACACACACACATACACAGCGATCTGGTCCTGCAATAAAAATGTACAATGTATATAAATTGTTTTAGGCATGCCTATTACTGATCTAATTAGACATCTAATAGACTTGAAGACATTTTTCTGTAAATACTAATTCATATTGAATGTAATGGATAAACTCAAAAAATGCACCTATAACTAATTTTAAAAAATCTTTTACCCAAAAAACAGGGTTGTGGTTAAAAACATTATTGGTAAGTAGTATGAGCTACATCGAATTAAAAAAAAAACTAGCTATTTACATGTGCGATGCCGGGGCTGGTTGCTAGTAAATAATATTAATAAATAATATTATTAAATATCATTTTGAATTATACAGGGATCGAATCAGTGACCATCGGAAAATGAGTTAGTTAAACCGCAAATGGTTAACCTCTAACTCGTTAATATATTCGCGAATAATTGTTTACGACAGAGTCGGATTTACAACGCGTTATCATTTATTGCCGGATAATGAGAGTCCTACAAGGGGGAAAAGGATTGTTAGCAATGGAGTTTGACAGCCCCATTGCTAGCAATATACCTTATTAAGTTGACCTCCACGTGGTTCCCCCTTGAAACCATCGTAAACAATTCTTGTTGAATTCGTCACGATAGGCTAACTGACCTGCTTCATCTTCACCTATCATACTTCACTGGTGCCCCGCCGGTGTATTCCGATAGCGCGGGTACCCCACGGGGTTACCATTTCATTATCATCCATTTAAAAAAAAATGAGAGTCCTACAATCCACTTTTCCATTTACAACTCAATCATTCTGTTATTTGAAGTATGTAAAGATTAATGGGTAGGTAATCTCTGTTAAATCCTACTACCTTTCCCTTTAGTACAATGGTACCCTTCCCTTTAGGAAAATGTTCCTGTGTTCTCTCTTCGTTTTCCTCCGTCATTCTCTCCTGTTGTATGTGTGTTATTAAATATGTGTATGTTTATGTATGTTTTTTATGTTTGTATGTATATATGTGTTTATTTAGAATAGTGCGCCATCTAGTCTTTTCCTTTTTCTCAATGTAGAGGAAATAATTAAATATTGATTCATCAAGATACATTGTGTGATCTAGAGAAAAAAAACGAGTTAGCTAATTTGACAAAAAGTTGACCCGTTTTTGAGACTCTATACTCTATCTATATAATCTATCTAACCAATCATATTACAATTTGGTGGTTTTTTTTTCTAATGGGTGAAAATGGAACGGTATCCCCGCCCGCGCTATCGGTATACACCGACGAGGCACCAGTGGAAGATGATAGGTGAGAATGAATGCAGGTCAGTTGGCCCACCATGATGAATTCGATAAGAATTAAACATAATGGTTTCCAAGGGAAACCGCGTGAAGGTCGACCTGAAAGGGTATATTGCTAGTAATGGGGCTATTAGACCCCATTACTAGCAATCCCTTTTCCCCCTACAATTTGGTGTACACGCACTGTACTCGTATGGGATGGAGAAAGATATATACTTTTTATCCCGATCACGCGAACTTCGAATAAAAGTTAGTATAAAATAAAACTATAATGAAACTTAAAATGTACGTTAAATAGGTTTTTTTTTAAATGTAATATACGAATTGGAGTGCTCTTCCTGCTTTTACGAGTATATTTCAAGAGAAATACAAACTAGAGCTTTTCCAAGTGGACGGCGAAAAAGCGCACTTACAAGAAAATACTTTCTCACGCTCACCAAGAAGCGTGCTTCGATACCATTCCTTAAGGAAAACTACTTTTTATTCCGTTCAACCAATATATTGTTTCGGTATCGGACGCGATCACATGTAAAGACTAGTATATAATAATATGAGCATATTATTTTTCTTTCTTGCGATAATTGTATATTTCCTACTTAAAAAAATATTATAGGTAAGACTAGACGTTTCCCGTGGCGTTGCTTGCTTCTATGTGGTTCCCTTACATCATTCCCATTGGAACTCTTCATGAATCCGATCTTATATTGTATTGTATACTTACACGATAATTACGTACCTAATACCTTCATAAAGTTTCAGCCAGTTTAACTGATCGGTTATTTTATAGCATTTTATATGTGATTCTTAAGAAAAATATAACTTTTTTATTTATGAACCGATTGAAATAAAACAAACGTTAAATATTAAGTGGAGCAAACCGCAATGTATTAGTGAAAACCATGTTCAAAACGATTAAGCTGTTTCTGAGATTAGCGTGCACAAATGTACAGTCAAACAGAGAAACAGACAAAAATTAAAAAAAAAAAATTGGGTTCTATTGCGTTCATAAAGCCCTCCTATAATAGTTTTTCTTATATACTCGTATATTCTATGTATAGACAGCGACCAGTTATGATTTTGTTATATGTATTGATAGATTTATTTTTTTTATGGGTGAAAATGGTATGGTTACCCCGCCTGCGCTAACGAGATACGCTGGCGGAGCAGCAGTGAAGGTTGATAGATGAGAATGAAAACAGGCCAGTTAACCCATCATGATGAATTCATCAGGAATTAACCATGATAGTTTCCAGAGAGAACCACGAGAAGGTCGACCTGGTTGGGTATATTGCTAGCAATGGGATTCTCAGTCTCCATTACTAACAATCCCTTTCCCCCAATGATTGATTGATTAGGTACTAGTAAATTGTTACTCAACTACATCAGTCTAATTTTTAACTGTACGTTACACAATTTCAGTTTTTATTCATTCACTTCTAAATGAGTTTAAGCTCTTGGATGTTTTCGCAATTAGGTATTAGGTCTTCTAAAATATCTCTTTAGATCTGATAATAAAGCCTGAAATATTGTCTTGTTTGCATAAAATCTTCTTGTTAAGCGATTAAAGGATTAGATTCTTTTATTGTCATGTTCTGTGAATTCTTGTTTTGCAATTTTGGGTTCACTTTTGTTTTAGCACTTTTTTAAATTTTGTGACCATTAAATCTATAGACAGATTAGATTTCAAATGTTTTAATTTAGGACGTGTAATTACGTGTCTATAAGTTAGTGTTGCTTTGCAACCAGCCGAACTTTGTCCTTGAATGGAAACAGCAGATTTACTCGCTAAAGCTATATAATTAATACATGACTTACAGATTATAAAAATTTATAAAAATATGCAAGTATAAAATTAATGTCCCGTGTGGTCTTCGCATAGAATAGGCCACCCCTTCCTTTCCCATGGGTATTGTAAGAGGCGACTAAGGGATGACGAAGGATGGGCGTTCGTCTTAAAACATCTCCAAAGCCTTACTGCGGTTGCCAATCTGCCTGACAAGCGTGGAAATTATTGGCAAACCCCCTAGTGGGAGGCTTATGTCCAGCAGTGGACAGTTAAAAGATAAGTGGTATGATGATGACATAATTACTATTTGACCAACACTAGAATAAAAAATAAATAGCTAAATGTATACCTATATATCGTAGTTAATTCTAAGGTGTTATTTTCTAAACATATCTCTATTTAAATTTGATAGTTTTGCGAAATCAGTAAATTTAATTTATTATGTCCACGGTACTGCTCATGTCTATAGGCGACGGTTATCAGTTTCCATCAGGTGGGCCGTCAGCTTGTTCGCCATTCTAATTTGTATAAAAAAAAAATTAACTAAAATCTATAAGTAACTTAGTTCATATTCAGAATAAAAATTATATACAATTGGATTTTTAATTTAATTTTTAATTAATTAATTATTAATGAATTTAATTTTTAACTAATTGAGACTTTCTTCTCCGTTCTTTTTTTAATTTAGCTTAAAAGCAGATATTTGGTTTTGTAGTAGGTATCTTTTTTGTATCCAAATACTTATTCGTTGATTTTTTTACCAGGTCTTGTGACATTCAGCGATGGAAGCAATGGATTTCCAAGGAATGAAGGGTTCTTCCAGGATTGCAGGCTGGTTCGACGTAAACGATGCCCCGAAGTGGTGCAAAGGGGACAGAAGGTCGCTTATATGGCGAGAGCGCAATGCCAACAGATGTGATTAATAAATTCTAATAAAAACTTTATTTTTATTTTGAAAATTGATTAAACTGAATTTTTTTTTTTATGATAAGCGGTTAACGTAGCCTATGAAAGCTTGTAATGTAAACGAGGAGTATTACGCGCGCATTGCCGACCTTGAAGAAACCTCTTTACCCCCCTTTTGAAGAACCCCATGCTGTAGGCTCTTGGAAAAACCTCGGCAGGGAGCTTATTCTACAACCTGAGTGTTCGCGAGAGGAAACATCTCTAAAATTTATTTAAATTATTTATTCAATAAATAAATAAATCGAAATGATTTAAATTTGATTGTAATTCCAATGCGTCAACAGTTACAATTTATGTGTCATTCTGCTGCAATTTATGTGTATTTCAGCTAAAGGGTAATAAAGGTTTGAAAATTTAGATACAACAATAAAACAAGTAATAACAAATTTATTATCTCCTCAACATTTCTTTAGAAATAATTAATAATTAATTAATGTTAAATAATATTAAATTAATTAATTATTAATTTAATTTTCTCTTATCAATACATTTAAATTACTCCTTATTATATTGGACAATAAATAAACTTATAAATTAAGAGGTTTAATTGTTTTTCAGTTTCCTTTTGGCGATGGTTGCCTCATCGTCGAGGCATTGTCCATATCTCACTTCCATACATTTGCTGCCCTGTAACAAATTATACAAAACATATAATTATATAATTATATGTATAAAAATATCATGTCACGAGTGTTTTTTATAAAAAAATTGTGTATATTTGGTAGGTTTTAAAGTATATTTCATACCGTTATGTGAAGGTTGTTCCTATCCCTAACATATACGAGTATGATAGAACAATTTTTACCGAGTCAGCCAGTACAATATATAATTTTGATTTAACTATAATAAAAACTATTATATGCCGTGTGGTTTCAGCATAGAATAAGCCACCCCGTCCCATCCTGGGGATAACGTAAGTGGAGACTAAGGGAACCTAATGTTTAAACGATGCACAGCAGCATCCTTTTTAAAACATCACTAAAGCTTAACTGCGGTTGCCAACCCACCTGCCAAACTTGAAGATTCTATTATTTTTTAATATGAAGATGTAATACATGTAATAATGTAAATATATATCCCTACTGATTATTATACATACATACATATATACATATCTATACATATATGTATAAACATACACACATGCATTTCAACACTTACACAAATACATAAAAATATATAAATACTGATTACATTTATAAATAAAATACAAAGTTATAACCTTTTTAGGTATCTGAAGAAATAAGTATGCTAACACTACAAATAAACAAATTAAAAAGACGACAACTTGCTCAAATAATAGTCCTTAAGTTTTGTTTTAAAACTCGGCAGACATTTACTAATTTAATGTATTAAGACTCTCTCATATAAATTTTTCTTAAAAACCTCCCATCCACAAACATCTTTTAGTTACAATCTACTTACATGTATGTTACATATAAATTATTTTTATCATTAACGGACGCGTTTTGAAAGGAAACACACATCAACAATGAATTAACTGTCATCTTTTGACAGTTGCTCCATCTAGACGATGATCTATGTCTATTATGTAAACCAGCACACGACGCAACCACTACGACCACGTTACAAATGAACAATTTATAAGAAAGCAAAAGGCAGTGGAACGGAACTGTCGGTGATTGCATCATCACACTTTCTCTGGGAAGTTTGTTGCGTAAGGCATCTCGGCGCTGATTGCAATATTATTATTGCATGTTATTTAATGACTCGAACACTTTTTAAGTCTTCGAAAACGAGAATGCTCTTAATTGTACAGCATTTATGGATGTGACCAGTTATCTTCGGCTCTTCTTCGGTATTCTGAACGGGGACTGTATACTTTTGCAACTTTTGCAATAATGTTTTAGAGCATTTATAACTTTCCAATAGGCCACCCTTTCCTTTCCCGTGGGTGTCGTAAGAGGCGACTAAAGGAGATTGGGAGAGGGGCAGTAGCGTGACTTTTAAAAAATCTCTAAATCCTAACTGCGATTGCCAATTCACCTACTAAGTGTAGCAAGTACTGGAAAAACCCCCTATAGGGGGAGACTTATGTTCAGAATTGGTCAGTTAAAGGCTGATATGATGATGATGATGATGACAGCATCGCGATTGTCTGTCATTTTTCAAAAACAATATAACATTTTGCTATATTTCTGTTTGACCGAAAATATTATTGGGGGTCGATTCTGAGGCAACATTCTATAAACCTATCTCAAATATTTAAATTTGATATTATAATAATATTTTAATCAAAATTATTATAAAATAAATTTATGACATATATTATCTGATACAATGTCACCATTTAATTTCATTGTAAGAACTCGTCAGTTATATGTTAGGGGCTTAAATAATATACGAGTAATCTTCATACAAATGTTTCGAGAAAAACAGGTGAACTTTTTCATACAATTTTGTGTGATAAATAGCTATGAGTGATTCTTTTATGACTTCTATATTTATTTTGTCTTAAAATTTCTGCATCTTTTTAATGAGTAAACACTCATTTTATTTATTAAATGATACGCCAAGATACATTTTGTGCGTAATTATAATATATAGAATATTGATAAAAAAAACAGTCAACTAGTTTGACAATTAGCTGACATATAGTTGACCCGTTTTAGAAATATGATACTCTATATAATCTAAAATTAAGGGTAATTTTGGTTGTTACTTTCTAATATTAAAAAAAAACCTACTGAACCTAAGACCTACTTCGGAGTGAACTATTGTCGGATGTTTAATTCGATGCAGTAAACTGACATAAGCTAATGTCACTTTCACAAAAAATGTTACCACACTTAACTTAGTAGCGATAGCTTCATTAATTTAAAAACGAACTAAATTAACTAGCGTAAACCTATTAAGTTATAATTCTATAAATAATATATAATTATTATTATTTCATAATAATAATTATACAAAAAAACATATCTCGATTATATTTTTTATTTATGCCCATAAATAAAAAATACTAATACAGCAATACAGTAATAACTGGCAACACTGGAGCTGTCAGTTTACTGCATCGAATTAAAAGTCCGACTATAGGTTTCTGGTCGGGCAACAATTTAAGGAATGTAGTTGGGAGTTTCTAACGAATTCCCGTATACAAGTACTACAGTCGTATGTCAATCGATTTAATCGAATTTGAACATTTGGCACATTTCTTTTGCAGACTCGCAAGTACAAAGAAATTTCGTTTATTAATTGAAACGGATCCTGCATATTCGATGTTGTGCGTAACACCAGCTGAGCCTAAGGAATTCTTATTTCATTCTTACATCCTATTTCACAACACAACTGACTCGTATTCTATTGATTAGCCGTTTCATTCGACTAAAGCCTTATCTAAATGAGGACGAATGATTTGACTTTTATTTGTAATGGATAAAGTAAAAAAATACCTAATCATGAATATATGTACATATATACACACATATTTATAGGTATACTGGCTAACGTGGCAAATGTTGTTTTGCCATTTATCACCATTGAAATTTGAGACAATATTAAACATACCATTTCTTAAAAAAAAAAAACAAAATTCTTACCTTTGCAAGATAAGCTTTCATGTAGAAATTTCCGAAGAGAACGATGAAGGAAATCATGTAAAGAATAAGTACGTAGTGCATCCATAATGGGAACTCGCAGCCGGTTCTTACGCCGTTGATTCCAAGAATTAGGGCACATGTGAACTGAATCTGGAAAAATTAATATACGATTAATATATTGAAATCTTAGATTATATACAGAGTGTCCCCATACAAATGCTTCGCACAAATACAGGTCAACCTTTTTTCATGTGTATGTGACCTTATATTATATTTTTTTTAAATGACAGCCATTTTAATACATATAGAATCAAAATAAATAGTTCGCAATTCAAATTAAAAAAAGAATAATTATATTTGGGAGGTTTTTAATCTAATTACTTGCAACACTAAAAAATTACGCGTTTTGTTTTTATTTAAAAAAAATAGGTTAAAATTTAGTTAGCCAAATATAAATTTAGCTAACTAAATGTAGATCTTTTTTTAATAATCGATGCTCGATCTATAATACAATCTATGATTGAAATGCAAAAATAATTGATTAATTTCAATAAATTAAAACAGATTACGCATATATGCATACTCGTATTATACGTATTAACCCCCTTTATAGGGGGGGAAAGGGATTGTTAGTGATGGAGACTGAGAGTCCCATTGCTAGCAATATACCCAACCAGGTCGACCTCCTCGCGGTTCCCCTTGGAAACTATCATGGTTAATTCTTGATGAATTCATCATGATGGGCTAACTGGCCTGTTTTCATTGGTCCTTCACTGGTGCTCCGTCAGCGTATCCCGTTAGCGCAGGTGGGGTTACCATACCATTTTCACCCATCAAAAAAAAGACAATCAATACATATAACAAAATCATAACTGGTCGCTGTCTGTACATAAAATATATATAAGAAAAACTAATATAGGGGGGCTTTATGAACGCATTGGCACCCACAACAATAATTTTAATAATAGCGCAGGTGGAGTTACCATTCTATTTTCACCCATCAAAAAAAACCCTCCTTATAGGAACGGCCTATGTTCATGAGTGGCCAGTTAACGACAGATACCATCGTTATCATACATAAAATTAATACAAACGCTTTGACACAGCCATAACTTTATTCTAAGGCATTTTTCTATCTAGTTCTTAGTATCTACGCAATGTTCTATCTAGATGTATATGATCAATTTCATCTGTAGATATTGTTCCAGTTTTGTGTTATAGTAAGTAAACAGCTTGTTATCATAACATAATATTACGTCGATCCCGAATAATACGGGCAAAGACATGATGAATAATAATTGATGCTAACATTATTTGTTGATTGCTCAACGGGAATATTTGGGAATCAAGCGGTATCATGTTAGCAATATAGCTCATTCTACTATAATTATAATCGCGAGAATTTGCAGAGACGTTTCTTACTCAATTAACGCTTAAACCGCTGAATGGTTTAACAAGAAATTTTGTATCAATGCGAAGCGTGATTGTTTTAGTATCACTCGCTATTATACTATTCCTTCGCGTGAATCAGGATTATGTAATAATTATTCCTTATTTGTTTTTCTTTCTTTATTCGTATGGGCTTGCTATTTAATATAATTGTTTATAAGTAGGATTTATTATATAGTTTATCTAGACCAGTGGTGGGCAAACTATTTTAATGGGTGGGCCACAAAGTTTAAGAAATTCTAGAGGAGGGCCAGAATTATAGAAAAAATGCATTTTGTGTTAAAGCTTTTATTCATAATATTATAAAAATATTTCAGCATTACACACAAATGTTACAAATTAACTTTTACCTTTAAATAATAATTTATTTAATTTTTATTCGAAGGCCCTGCCATGGTAGACGTGTAAGACATGGAATTGTTTTTGATTTACTATAATATTTTCGAACTACGCGGCTAGTTTAGCATCACCGATAGGTTATGCATTTATTATTGTACTAAGTAGAATCTACTTTACACGTCTCGACCGTCAAAACGTAATTAGAGCGGGCCATATACTATCCATGTCGATGGATCTTCGATAGCCCGGATTAAATACTTTCGCAGGCCGATCTTTTTTTTTTTTTACAACACAGGGGGCAAACGAGCATGCGGCTCACCTGATGGTAAGTGACTACCGCCACCCATGGTCACCCACAACACCTACGGCATTGCAGGTGTGCTGCCGGCCTTTTAAAAAGGAATATGCTCTTTTCTTGAAGGTTTGCCCATCACTGATCTAGACTATAGTCTGGTTTAGTTTTGGCCCAACTCCCTTATTCATAAAAACGTCAAACCTGTCATAAACCTAAATTAGCTATTAAACTGTTTCGTCTCTTTCTTTTATACTATATTCTCAATTTGAATAAAAGTGACAAAACAGTGAAATAATTAAAACAGGTTTGAAGGAATGTTTAGTTTTTTTTTTTTTTATAAGAGGTTAAGACTATAAGTTTCTGAATAAAAATTGCTAAATGCAGGGGAAATTATTACTTAACACTTACCAGTTGCAAAATTGTAAGGTATTTCTTCCACCAGAGGAACTTGCTGACTGACGGCCCCAAGACTGACAGTCCGTAGTATGTGTACATTAGCACGTGGATGCTGCTATTCACCATGGCCGGCAAGAAAGCTGTAAAACAAACAAAGCCTTAGAACAGCGACTCGTGAAGTGGATACCATAGAACCTAGAGGTTCCATAGAAAAGTCATTAGAGTATCGTGAAATTATTTATTTTTGGCTATAAATTAATACCACATCGTCAGCTTGTTTGCCATTCTAAGTTGTATAAAAAAAAAGAAAGTCGAATTTGAAATAATTTTAAATCTGTTGATAACTAGAGGGATATGAGTGCATGATGAGCTGTCAGCGTTGGTTAAATTAAAGCGGATAAAGCATTTCCCGCCATTTCCATTATTCAAATGGCTTGACAATTTCTTTATCCAATTCAGTTCAAATGCGTCATTCGTAATTCGAATTTCGTCGCGCGTTTTTCCTTAATCTATGGACACATGTAGCGGTTTTGATTGCATGCCTGTATACGGTGTTGAATTTTATTAAAAAAAAAAAAAGAGAGCGCACTTTTGTTTGATGATGTGATCACTTTATCACGGGCTATTCATTTGATAATATTTAATAAAAAAAAACTATTTATCTATTTTTATTTTACTAACTATTATGAACGCAAAAGTTTGTAAGGATTTACGAATGGATGTTTGTTATTCTTTCACCCAAAAACTATTGAACGGATTTAAATGAAATTACATGTGAAGATACAAGAGTAGGTCACTTCTTTAAATTATATAGATAGTCATAGAAATGCTTCGAGGAAAACGGCTCAACTTTTTCATACAATTTTGCGTGATAAATAGTTATGAGTACTTCCTTTATAACTTCTATATTAATTTTGTCTTGTCAATTCTGCATCTTTTTAATGCGTCAAAATGATTTTTATTTATTAAATAATACGTCAAGATACATTTAATGCTTAAATATATAGAACACTGAAAAAAAAACTAGTCAGTTAATTTGACAATTAGCTGACAAAAAATTTAACCCGTTTTTGAAGCTCGAGGCTTTATTTATATAATCTACACATCACATCCTAATTTGAAATTTAGCACAAAAATAGAATAATCTATTTTTGTCAAGCTAGTATATAAATACTAACTTGACATATAGAATATGTATTATATTATCCTGATACAAGTGGATGACGGTACGGTGTACAGTTAGTTTTTTATATAAATAAAAAAAAATTGCTCTCAGTAACATATGCTCTAAAGAGATTTGCCGATTCTTGTCGCTGTAGTAAATACAATACTTGACGTGCCTATATGTCGCTGATCGTATTGAAAATTAACGTTGCAGCCTATTGCTGTATTTTATATAAATAGGTGATATATTTTTTACCTATTATAACTGTTCTATGGTTGCTGAGTTCATTGACCCGCAACGGTATCTAGTACTTACAACGAAGTCATACGATGGCGAGCCGTTATGTTGATTGTTACAGTCGATTTGCCGATATTTTGCCAATCACATTGACCCAATGTTATGGAGAGCATGGTTTTGAACCATATGTTTAAATCGACTACACTCAGTTAAGTGCTTACGGGAGAAAAGGGTGGCGGGGAGGGTATTGTAACGGAGATTAGAGGCTCCATAGTTGGCAATATGCCGTTAAGTCGACTCCCATATTTGTAAACTACCGTGATCAATTCTTGGAGATTTTTTTATAATGGTCCAATTTCATGATTACTTAGCATTACTGGAATTAATAGCGCAGGTGAGGTTATCATTGCATTTTTATTAAGCATTAAAAAAAATTCAAATACTTTTTTAATATTAATAGAACAAATAACACTATCGAGAATTGAATCCGGGACCTCATGTGTAAAGCTTTCTCCTCACTTATGCGCCCAACGTAACATATGCTCATCCTCACCTATCATTTATTGCTAGGGCGGCGCCTAACCTATATAACCATATAACCAATATAACTATATATATAACCATATAACCAATAGCATGCATATGCATAATTTAAATATTTTCATGTCATTCGGGAATTATAGAAGCCGTGTGGTCCCGGCATAGAATAAGTCACACCTTTCTTTCCCGTGGTTGTCGTAAAACACGACTAAAGGACGGCGAGTGATGGGCAGCAGCGCCTCTCTTAAAACATCTCTAAAGCCTGACTACGGTTGCAAATCTGGCTGCCAAACGCGGCAACTATTGGCAAAATCTCCCAAGAGGAAGGCTTATGTTCATCAGTGGACGGTTAAGAACTAATATGATGATGATGATGTAATTCGAATTCGAAATTGAAAATCATAAAATTTGAATTTTCAACATGGAGGTCGATATCTTCGGTTCTGGTAAATAGCATGTTCATAAAACGTTCATAGTTGAATTCTGAAATTTAATAATCATAGTTTACTTACTCGATCCACTCGGCACCCATTTGATCCCGATCCACCAGAAGGAGAACATGGTGGAGTGATGGTACACGTGTAGGAATGTTAGTTGTTCATCTTTTTTTCTCAGAATGAAGAAGAAAGTGTCACAGAATTCTAGCAGTTTGGAAAAATAGTACCACCAAACAGCGTCTGCTATCTGAAAAAAAAATATGAAATATATTTAATTTTTTTATGACAAATTTGAAATTTAAATTCTGATATAAGAATGATATCTAAATACCAGAAGGTTAAAGTACGAATTGGAAATGTTTCCATTAATATTGTGGCTAGAAGGTATAACTGAATCAGATATCTAAGCGAATTGTTCTATTGCTTTGTCTCCAATAATTATTGATTTATATTCAAAGCCTATTCAATTATGAAGACAGTTTTACGTACCTATCGACCGACTAATCGGCCGGTGATGTACAAAATAAATGTCTTTAACCTTATATACAAAAAATTGTGGTTATTTGATTTAGATGATTTTTTGATTAATTCCGATACCATTAGTAAGTGACCACCAATACTCGGAGATTTATCACCATCACTACTACCAAAAGTTCTAAAACTTTCTATATTAGTCATAAATCTCCGACTGTAAATTCATCCACGCACACTTTGAAATGAACGTTTAACATTAGGCTCCGAGCAGCGAATTAATAATTTAGCTCAAAATGCCTCGTTTAGAGATAAAACACGTTTCGCAAAATGTGTGTGGACGAAATGGTAATCAGAAACTGATAGCTAATAAAGAAGGTTGTCTTCTGGTAGTAATGATAGTGGTAGTCAATCTTCAAACATTGGCAGTCACACACATACTGATGGTAACGGAATTAAACAAAATATTTCTAATCAAATAATCGTTGATATCGACTTCCGCAAAATGATAGCTATTTTGGTAAAATTATAGCATCAAGTTTTTGAATATTTTATATATCAAGTTAATATTAATACTGCTTTAATATCGGCAGCTCACAAAACATATTTAAACAGTCATACATGTGATTTAAATTTCATTGATAAACGTTCTTGTAACATGAACTTTCTGTCTCTCGAAATTATAAAGCGGATGTAAAGTTGATATCTTAATAGGGGCATTAATTTTAAGCAAACTCTAACTTAACAACATGGAGACGAAACAATCATTTTCTACACAATGTAACACTTCGTCAAACTTTGACAGAATTTGGAAATTTATAAATAACCTTTTAACAACTGCAGGAAAAGATCACGTTTCTTTAACTTTTCCAAATATGAGTATAAAAGTATATTGTTTTTCATCTTTGAAAAAAGGACTCGTAACTTCGTCAGTTGTCAAATTGATTTGGGAAATTATTTTCTTTTTTATTTGAAAGTATATACTTTCAGAGTGGTCTCATAGAAATTTTATCGAAATCAATTTATTTTGATTTAAAAATCGAAGTCAATTTTTAAATCAAAATAATTGAGTTGGCCCCGAATAAACTTGTTTTATTTTTTTGTGGAACACAGTCTTATTTTATTTGAACAGTTTACTTTATATATATATATAGTAAATATATTTATACATAGTAAATCGGAACTGATTCTTCATAGAAATTTACTGGTCGACTTTTTTGTGAAATTAGGAGAAATTTATTAAGTTATATAAAAAACAATGTAATAATTATCAATCATCAATTAAGTGATGAATACACAGATAAACATCATCAATCAAGACAGTCGCCAGATAAATAGGCTTACCAATAAATGGACTATATAACTAATGAAATAATGTACTAAATCTTTCAAACAGACTGACTTTTTAACTAAGTGACATTTGCATGTTATCAACAAATATATGTACATTTAGTATAAATAAAGTGTATTTCTTTATTTAGAAGCCTATATATCTTTCTATCATACCATTCTATCATATCATACCCAAGCAATTGACTTTTGTACAAAGTGTCCCACTTTGTACAAAAGTCAATTGCTTGGGTACCTCTGTCCCATTCGTGTTTCTACCGTGAAGCAGTTGTGTTTGCATGGCTGTGTTTCGGTTTCAATGGTAGGATATGGCAGTGAATTTACAGGGTACAGAGGAATAACACCTGAGTCCTCAGGAATGGCAACGCATGGGGGTATCATGGGCGAAACAGTATACTCTGTTATGTCCATGGTACTGCTCATGTCTATAGGCGACGGTTACCACTTTCCATCAGGTGGGTCGTCAGCTTGTTTGCCATTCTAAGTTGTATAAAAAAAAAAAAAAAGATGATGACGATAATGTTTCTTTGAACTTAGGTTTGTCGTTTTAATTTTATATATTTTTGTTGAACTCAATTGGCTTAATTGTTACTTTTTAATATACAATGAGAAAATGAGATACAATATACAGAAAATGGTACACTTTGATGAAAATCTTTATTTTAAAGGTTTATATTGAATTATTATTAATAAATGTTAATTAGATTAAACGACTTTAATTAAAACGTAGTTATTTCAATATCCATTGTTAAAATTATTTATTATTTGAGTCCTTTGTTTTATTAATTGATAAATAATAGAACTTTATTTTGGAAGGAAAGTTGTAATAAATATCTTTAGCTATACATTTCATTATAGTTATGGCTTTACTTATTTTTTTTTTTTTTTATTAAATTACTGGACCGATTTTGTTTAATTTTCTATGGGAATAATCTGAAACTATATACTTTTTGATAAAAAAAAAAACATCTAAATCGGTTTATACATGTTAGAATTATGAGTTACAAATGATTAAGTGATTCAGTTCAAAATATCGACTACTTTAAATGTGATATCCCTATATACGGGTATGTTATTGGGCGCATATGTCTCAGAGCCGTTTCCTACAAATGGGAAACCTATGTTTTTTTATGGATGATAATGAAATGGTTACCCCGTCTGTGCTATCGGTATACGCAAGCGGGACACCACTGATAGATGACAGGTGAGGATAAAAGCAGGTTAGTTAGCCCATCGTGATGAATTTCACAAGAATTAACCACGATGGTTTCCAGGAAGAACCACGTGGAGATCGACCTGATAGGGTATATTGTTAGTAATGGGGCTGTTAGATCCCATTATTAACAATCCCTTCCCTCCGGGAAACTTATGTTTAGCAGTGGATAAATCAACAGTCCTGTAAAGAAAAAATCTATACTTACTTGTAATTCATCCGGATGATATCTTTGCCTGCAAGGCTCACAAATATAACTATATCTGAGTCTAAATGAAGCAGTCAGTAGTCTGATTGCTATATACGCATTTAGTAATGCCATGGCTAAATTGTATGGGACCAATAACCAGGTCAGTTTGAATGGTTGCCGGTTCCTCATTAACTTTGGTCCTATCCACACAATAAATAAATATGTTAATGTGTAGAACACTGTCGGTGCTGGTGAATCGACTAGCGGCCATCCTTTGGTTCTGCTATCTGAAACGAGAAAAAAAATTATTTAGGTAAAATTTTGACTTCTAGTTGGAATTCCAATAGGAGAAGATTCTCATTTATACTCGTATATGTATAGTTTATCTTGTAAGCATGTGTGTAAGCGCACGTGTGCGTGCGTGCGTGTGTGGCTGCGTGTGTGCGTGTGTGTGCGTGTGTGCGTGTGCGTGCATGTGTGCGTGTGTGTGTATATGTATGTCTAGCTGTAGATCGTCTACTTAACATTGGCATGCCCCTCCATAATTTACAAATGTGTGAATAAATATATTTACAAGATTTTGACCAAGAAATACAATACATAGATGTATGTATGTATGTCGTATGATGTATTCAGTAGTGGTCCTGCCAGAAATTACTGAAGACAATTACTCACAGACACAAACAGAGCACCGTGTCTGTAAATGGTCACACACATTGGAGTAAAATGTTCAAGGGGCGTGCCAAGTTATTGTAGACAATCTATAAGAAAGACTCCGGATTAGAAGATGCCGACTTTGAACATTGCCTCGTAATTTAATTTAATTTTTAGAAATTAAGCAATCCTTTAAATGTAAATGTGAATATATACTACATTTAAATGCGCCTTAAAATATCTAATAATATTATGGGAAACTGCCATAATATTATTAGATTTAGTATTTTGGTTCTGATCAAGAAACATCAAAAGGGACCTTTAAATGTTTATTAAATTACAAATCAAAACTGTAGAATGATTATTTAAAATTTACCATTTACACTAAATGTAAATAGCCTAAATTTGTAGTAATGTAATAAACTTAAAAGTAAGGTTATTTATTTATCACCTCTTGGGGATTTACGGCCTAATAAATCGTCATTTAGTTTGGTTCGGATGATCAAATAATTGTCTGGTAACATGAACAAAATCGTATACTATTTCATCCATGATATGCCATCCCCCCATGCGTTACCATTCCTGAGGACAGGTGTTATTCATCTGTACCCTGTAAATTCACTGACATATCCCACCCTTCAAACCAAAACACAGACATGCAAACACAACTGCTTCACGGTAGAAACGCGAATGGGGCAGAGGTGTCCAACCAAATGACTTTTGTACAAAGTCTTCCTCTGACAGGATTTTTTTTATATTCTATGAAGTCCGAGGAAAGTTACTACGAAGAGAAAAATTGGAAAAAATTCCTAGAAACACATAATATCCAATTTTTTCCATATACAAACTTTTCGTGGGCGGACTACCGTAGTTCATTGGCTTCTGTTTATCCGTTATATATCTATCATTAGCTTTTACCCCAGCTTCATCCATGGGACCGGGATATATTCATTGAATGGGATAAAAACTAGATCTATGCCCTTCCACGTCTCATATAGTACCTGTGTGTGTGCCTTTCATAGCGATTGGTTAAGCCTTTTTTATGGATGAAAATGTTTTTTTTTTTTCAATTTTGCGGCTCACTTTTGGCCACAGCAGAATATCAGTGTTTTGCTCTTTTTAGGGCAAAGCAATCAGCTGAGTTGTGACCATTTTGTGTTACTGTGGCACACGCATGATATGATAAAAAAAATAACTTATTTTATGCATTTTGTTTTTATTTTATTTTTTATTTTTTGTACATGTATCTTTTTTATCTTTTTTCACTGTGCATTTATGTATGTATATTGTTGTTTGTGTGCTGTAAGTAATGCAAATAAATTATTTGTTTATCTATCTAATACCCCGCCTGCGTTGTCGGTACGCTGATGGAGCACCAGTAAGCAATGACAGATGAGGATGAAAGCAGGTCAGTTGGGCTCATCGTGACAAATTCATGAAAAAATATTTACAATGGTTTCCAGGGGAACTGCGTTAAAATCGAACTAATAGGGCACATTGCTAGCAATGGTTCTAGATTTAGTTAGTAGAATTGCTAGAAATAGTTAGACTGTATAATAACAATATTTTTCCCTTTGAGTAAGCCGTTGAAACGTTGAGAGGTAACAAACAAACAAACTCTTCCGTTTTATTATATTAATACAGATTTCACGTTAATTTGCTGACACCATTAACGCACTAACAAAACAACAAATTCACTTTCACATTTATAATATTAGTAATTATTACAATAAACATTATATCTCTTTTATGGGGAAGGTCTACGTCCAGCAGTGAACAGTTAACGGTTGATATAGTCATAGTTAATTTCAAACTTTCGCGTTGTTTACACATATTTTAAATACACAATCGGGACTTAACATGATATAAAAGTTTTATTGGACACGATAGAATTGACAGCCCTGACTCTGGACAAATGGCAAACGAATCCGACGATAGAATTGACATCACTAGCGAGTCCGTAAGTTGGAATGAGTCACCCGACATTGCTATCTCATTATATTTGATGAATTCGCTAGCGATGTAGATTCCATCGACGAATTCGTTTGTCGTTTGTCTAAGGGCCCTGGACCTCTAGACAAGAGACAAGCGAATTCGTCGATGTAATTCGACATTGCTAGCAAGTGAGATAGAATGAGATAGCAACGTCGAATGTCTCATTCCAACTCACGGACTCGCTAGCGATGTTGATTCCGTTGTCGTGGTGCAATTCACTTCGAAACGTCAGCAATAAAGAAACAGGTATATAGGTACTATTAACCTGTAAGCTTTTAAATCGCGTTAAGTAATAATAATAATAATTAAATTTATTGCCATTCTTCACAGAAATTATAATGTACATAAATGAATTAATCAATATATTGTGCAGTATTCGTATGCGCCTGGCAATAGGTACAAACTCAGCTTTTGCTGGACTGATGTTCGTTCAGCGCTGATTTTCAGTTTGCACCTACACGGGGCACCGTTTCATTATCAAACATTTATATTCTTATATATATATATATATATATATATATATATATATATATATATATATATATATATATATATATATATATATATATATATATTTATAGTAAGTCTCGATTGTGTATTTAAAATATGATATTTTTTTTTTATACGACTCGACTTTGAATGGCAAACAAGCTGACGGTCCACCTGATGGAAAGTGGTAACCGTAGCCTATAGACATGAGCAGTATCATGGATATAACAGAGTATACTGTTTCGCCCATGATACCCCCCATGCGTTGCCATTCCTGAGGACTCAGGTGTTATTATTCCTCTGTACCCTGTAAATTCACGCCATATCCCACCCTTCAAACCGAAACACAGCCATGCAAACATAACTGCTTCACGGTTGAAACGCGAATGGGACAGAGGTGCCCAAGCAATCGACTTTTGTACAAAGTCTCCCTCTGGTGAATATGTTGATGAGGATAATAATAAACATTACCTGACAATGATAACGTCCATAAGTAATAGTCATATGTGTCCTTTAAAACGCTCTGCGTCGAATTTACTATTAAATTCGCCATCTTGTCTTTTTCTAATTAATCTGAAACAAAAAAAGAGATATTAATTTATTTATATGCTTTTGTACATTCACTTCATCATTTCAGACATTATCCGTCCAATGCTGGACATAAACCTATCCCATAGACTGCCATAAGGAACGGTCCTGAGCCGTCTGCAGCCACTGACTCTCTGCAATGCATTTCAGGTCGTCATTCCATCTAGGGGGGGGGGGGTCGTCGTACACTGCTTTTACCCATACGCGGTCGCCACTCAAGAACCTTTCTTCCCAATCATATTCATTCACACACTATGGTTGTACATAATAGCATAGATATTAGGCTTAAATTATACAGAGAGATTGTCTTAATACAAATGCTTTGAGGAAAGCTTTTTCATACAATTTTACGTGATAAATAGTTATGAATGGTTCTTAATAACTTCTATATTTATTTTTTCTTATAATTTCTGAATCGTTTTAATGCGATGAATGGATGGACGATGATCAGATCGACCTCCTCGCGGTTCCCCATGGAAACTATCGTATTCTCTTCCAAGTGAATTCATAACGATAGGCTAACTGACCTGCCTTTTCATTGTCACCAATCATCCCTCACTGGTATAGCCCCATATACCGTTAGCGTAGGCAGGGTTACCATACAATTATCATCCATTAATTTTTTTTTTAAAACATCAAAAGTTATTTTTTTTTGTATTATACCATGTTCCACTGACCCCATATCTTTGTACAGCATTTAAAATTTAACTGGCAATAAATATATATTATTATTGTTATTTTATATTTATGGGAATATTATAAATTTATTAAAACAATTGAAAGGCGCATTTTTTATTTAGTCGATGTTTGATTTGATGTGTATTCACATGCCGAATCGAAACAACAATAATACATTTATAAATAATTCAGATAAATGTAGGTTGTATGGTGTTTATATTCTATAAAATTAATGCGTCACAACGCGCGTACAATATTCGCTTAATAGAATTCCCTTGTATGTATTGTGAATTGTTCGAGAAATCCTTACGAATATTATAAATGTGAAAGTGAGTTTGTTTGTTACATTATACCGTTTTAATAGGTTAACCAATTACTAATATTATTTTTTTATGGGTGAAAATGGAACGGTAACCCCGACTGCGCTAACGGGATACGCTGCCGGAGCAACAGTGAAGGGTGATAGATGAGAATGAAAACAGGCTAGTTAGCCCATCATGATGAATTCATCAGGAATTAACCATGACAGTTTCCAGGGAGCGCGAGGAGGTCGACCTGGTTGAGTTTATTGCTAGCAATGGGAATCTCAGTGTCCGTTACTAACAATCCCTTTCCCCCCAAATCACTATGAAATTGGGTTACACGCACTATATAGGATGGAGAAGGATATGTTACTTTTTATCCCGGTCAATCAACATATCCCTTCCCATTCTTGTTAGCTATGGAGTTTTACAGCCCCATTGCTAGCAATATGCCTTATATATATAGAGACTACGACCTCCACGTGGTTTCCCCTGGAAACAATCGTGAACAATTCTTGTTGAATTCCTCACGATGGGCTAACTGGCCTGCTTCATCCTTACCTATCATCCTTCACTAGCGCCCCGCCGGTGTATACCAATAGCGAAGGTGGGGTTACCATTCCATTGTCACCCATTACAAAAAACATATCCCGATCACAAGGACGAAGTCGCGAGTCAGTCAGATTTATATTCGTTATAATAAAATATTAAACGTTGGAATTATCGTCATCATATCAGCCCTTAGGCCTCCTCTATAGACTGCCATAAAGAACGAGATCATTCCTTAAACCAATTCGGGCAATTTTGCCAGTAGTCCTCCCACGAACACTCAGGTTATGAAATGAGCTCCCTGCCGAGGTTTTTCCAAGACATGGGATTCTTCAGGGTCGGCAACGCACGCGTAATTCCTCTGGTATTGCATGTGTTCATAAGCTACGGTAACCACTTATCATTAGATGGGCCGTATGCTTGTTTGCCACTTCAGTGGTATAAAAAAAAAACGCTTTGCAGGCGAATTAACAACCGCAGTTTGTCTTATGATATTTTAAAAGAGACGCTGCTGCCCATCCTTCGTCCATTAATTTAATGGTCAGTTTTACTAAATATAGATTGTTCCAACGTTTAAATTTAACATTAGAATAATCAGTAAAAAAACGCCGACTCAGCTAAGCGTTTTAAAACGTTTATTAGCACTCCATACTCCATCTGGATGTAATTTAAAAACACATATGACTATATGCTACATTAATACCTCTATCTCGTCCAATGATATTGCTACCGAGTAGTTTGCTTACTCGTTGCATTCTAGTTACAAGGATGATATATGGCAATGAAATGATTGGATACTATGATTTTAGGTCACAGAAATTCAGAGGCCGATCTATATATTTTACGACTTCAGTCGAAGATAATATATGCCGCCTGTAATACACTAAAAAAGGGATACTTAGAAAAGTTTCTTCTTAGTTAAATGAATCAAATAAGATAATTTCTATGTATATAATTGTTTGTACTATTATAATGTTACTCTATGTATAATTTAGTTGATTGTAAGTATCAGCGATGTCATGTGTATTACTTAAATCTTGTTTTTATTTGTGAAACCCTGTAATTGGTTTTTTTATCTTTACCTATTGTGTTTTTTTTATACAACTTAGAATGGCAAACAAGCTGACGGCTCATCTGATGGAAAGTGGTAACCGTCACCTATAGACATAAGCAGTACCATGGACATAACAGAGTACACTGTTTCGCCCATGATACCCCCATGCGTTCCCATTCCTGAGGACTCAGGAATTGTAATATTGTAATATTCCTCTGTACCCTGTAAATTCACGCCATATCTCACCCTTCGAATCGAAATACAGCCATACAGCCAAACACAACTGCTTTAGGATTGAAACACGAATTGCACAGAGGTACCCAAGCAAACGACTTTTGTACAAAGTCTCCCTCTGGTGTGTTTTTATTACAATTATTTCTAGTTCTTTTCTTAAATAAAGAAATAATATATTTCAACCAAAGCTGATTAGCTATAATTTAGATTGTATTCCACGAAAAGAACCGACTTCAATTGTGGCGAATCCAGAAGAAGAAGAATATTCCAGTTCGGCTTGCAACTGACCGAGATATTAGGTATCAAACATAAGAAAAAAACAATCGAATTAAGAATCTTCTTCTAAAATAGATTTTTTCTTAGTTGACGTTTTATCGTTTTTACTTTAGTAAATAAATCAAACAAGATATTTTATATGTATACCAAAGCTAATTAGAATAGCAACTCTCTCAAGCTCTTATTTTCGATATTATATATTCGATGACCGATAGTTATTATATTTGTTACTGAGCCAATATATGTATAGATATTATAGCTACAATATATACATAGATATTGGTAAATATTACGCGTTCTTAGTATCTAACGTCTCGAAAGGGTCATATAGAGTTAAGATGCTTATTCTCTAATAGGGTTTAAATCTAAATCTTATTAGAAGTTACCAAGTTTTTTTTTTAATATTTAATACTATCTTCTAATATATAAAATTCTCGTGTCGCAGTGTTTGTTACCAAACTCTTTCGAAACGGCTTTACCGATTGTTATGAAATTTTGTGTGCATATTGAGTAGGTCTGAGAATCGGCCAACATCTATTTTTCATACCCCGAAATGATAAGGATGACCTATACCTAATTTATGATTTAGCATTGAAAAATACATACAAATTTAAATTTTCACGCTTTTACGATCAACCCCTGTTTTTTAACTGCGATTTTTATATGCCGCAATATGCTTGCAAGATGGCAATCGAATATAATAATTGTAGTACAAAAAATGTTCATGTATAATTCTCGAAATAATGTATATGGTAAAATAACGTTTGCCGAGTCAGCTAGTAAATATATAATTCTTCATAGATCATAATAATTTGATGCCATATTAAAATCATATATTTAACGACAATGGTCGAATCAATAATTTTTTTAGCGTCAGCCATTCAGCCATTTCAGGCGTCGCAATTATGCTGCCATTAATTTTAATGTTCCATGCAATTGCCATTTCGCCCCTGCCCATAGATTGGGCGCTACAGAGTTTGGCATCACTCGATTTATAACATAAGAATGAAATATTTATCCTTATGGTTTTACCCTTGATAAAGCAAGCATCCGTAGATTGCGACGGTATGCTCTCACGGGATCAATCGAATGAAAACGACTTCAATGAGGGTTTAGCCTTTTTCTATTGTAAAAGGGAATTCGGTGAAGCAAGTTTTGAGACATGATTGTCTTTATTGCGAACTCATTTTTAATAACATTTGATAGTTCTATAATTTGTATTAGATAAGTATCATTTATTGGATAGTCTTGTATCGACTTATTAAAATTTGTATTTTTTTTATAATTGTGGTTAAAAAAATTTTTCACGAAATTTTGTAAAGAATTAAGTTTAATGACTTTTTAAGGATTTCAAAAATTTTAATTTGGATGTATCTCGCGTCACTTGAATTTTATAATATAGAACTACAAAATGTCAATCGCGTAGAGTTGCATTGCTAGCTATATATGTATATATATATACATATAGACGTTATATTTATTTTCTGTTTTTACGTAATGGATAGTTGGTAGAGAATGCTATATAGTATTAATCTTGACACTTGTACAATTTTTTATTGTGCAATATAGAATAAATACAATAAACAAATAAATATACTCTATCAGGTAGATCTACACGCGTTTTTTTTTTTTGGAATCCGTCGTGGTTAAATTCTTGTGAATTTGCCAACTAACTGACTTGACACTAGCTCATCTCTTACTTCTTTCTCATCATTTAATTTATATCCATTAAAAAACATTACGAAAGATTGAATAGATTATATAGGAATTGTAAATATATATTTAAAATTTAATTAAATGAAACATTTAAATCTAGTTTTAGTTCTGAATTAATATCCGGCTTTTAAAAGCGTAATATTATACCAGGGAAAAGAGCTGGGGTTTTAAGTTAA